ATCAACAGGCATTTCTGTAGGTTTGTCAAAAGAAAAATCATCTGGTTTAGTTGCATTTTAAAACACTGCTTTTTCTTAAAAACATTGTGTCAGACGTATTTGGTAGCATGATTATCTTGTTCAATCGTGTATTAAGTACATATTTATCAGGCTGATATTTGTAGACAGTAAATTTATAAAAGAAAAAAGAATCAGCTAATGGCCTTGTGTCAGAACACAACAGGTATAAAGATATCTTTGGTTTTTTATTCTAACTTTATAAGCTAGATTAATCTTTGAAAAGGATAATACAGTATTTGATTTTTGGCGGAAAATCTGAAAAACCACCTTACGTTTGATTGATTGATTGAACTTTATTGTCCAGTCTGTTTTCACAGAGTGGAAATTTTTCTTTGACATTGTACCATAAGATCACATATCAACAACACAAATACAAAAAATAATATAGTTCAACAGTTGCTCTATTGTTTCAATTAAAACACTGTACGATGTAAGATAATCACTGTCATAGGAAGAAACGATCTTTTGTAGAGATTTTTTCTAGCCAAGGGAATTTTTAGTCTACGTCTGAGTTGAACTGTTCGGTGTTTTGAGGCACATATTTCTTTTGCAAAAAAACTTTGCATCAGACATATCATATATCATATTTTTTACTTTATACTTGCTAGGAAATGAATTGAAATTGAACCTTTGTATAAATAAGAAAAGTATATTTTAAAAGAAGTTTAAAGGAAAAAAGTACCAATTAATGACATTGTGTCAGAACACGGCAAAAATGAAGAAGCGCTTTTACATTTTTGTTCAAACTTTAAAGTAAGATTACCCTTTGAAAAGTGTAATACAAATCGTATAAAGTATTTGATTTTGGGTGGACCGTTGTGTCATTAAACTTAATCTTTGGTTTTAAGGGGAATTAAATACATTTTAAAAAGTATTTTTATAGCTCAATGGCTTTATTCATAAATATGACCTCATTGGTGTAAAATTAGCTCTGCCAATGTTCTGACGGGTAAGTCCATGGAGCCCTTCATGTCGTTCCGCCATCTTGAAAAACTATAATAGCGGAGAGGGACAAAAAGCACTAGGCTACCTCAACGCGTTTCTACAACACGTTTTCGTTTAGAGCCGGCTGACTGAAACCATCTGAAACGGACACAAGAAGGTCAGTGAGAGGCGCTTGTCACTCCCCCGGCAAATTTGAAAGATTGCACGGCACTTCATAATGCAATCCTCGTAGCCATGATAAAGCTTAAAAAATTAATTTAAAGTGAAACGTGTCTGGCAAATTCAAAACGACGGTAAATATCGGGATAGCTTTTCCCAGGTGGATAGAGCTAATGAAGGAGAAAGACTTTGAAAGGGACACTGAAGTCCTGCTTTCTCGTCGACAGTTAAGTCAGTGTTATGGTCTAAATTACAAGCTTTTTCATTCCGTGGTTGTGTAATTCATTATATAGGCAACATAACGGTAGAACGTGTATAGTTAAACTCGATGAAGTGCAATTGGACGACATGTCGTAGCTTCTTGGCACATAGCGGTTACCGTAGTTGCAACTTGCATTTGAAAAAGCGAAGCGCTAGAGAGCACTATGCGTTTGAATGCAAAATACAATTTCACCGCTAGATGGGGAAATTCCTACACAGCGTACCATTTAAGGACTAAGCTATGGGGTATTTAACAAAAAGCCTACAAAAATGGAGGAGGTCAAAGGGGCATGTTTCCTGCTATAGTATCATCAGCTCTCCTCAAAGTCTGTTCATGTGGCCTGTCGCATCAACAAATGCTAACATTTTAAACTTCTACATATATTTTGAGTAGATAACCGATAGTATATTCTCAGTGAAGGGTTTCACCCTGTGTGCTTCCACAATGAATAAGGATAGTTTGAGAGATGCAAGAAAAGTAAATATGATATATCTTATACGTACAATAGGTCGTAGCTACCGCAGAAAAAGTAAGAACATGCTTTGAATTAAGACGAGTAAAATTAAATATTCGCTCAAGACAAACTTATGCTGCGTCATGGAGCACAGAGGCACATTGCGTCGCTGAAAATGTGTGGTGATTTTCTAAATGATACAACTTAATCTAAATAAGAGCAATGTAGAGTCCTGGGATTTCTTTTAAAACAAAAACTTTGTGACAAACTTTGACAACATGTTTCATGTCGCATGGACAAAAACTATTTGAAATAAGATCTAAGACGCCTAAGCACAGTTCTTGATTTATAACATTTTTTATTTTTTGAGCAAACAATGTTTAGTAAAAATAATACCTTTATGAAAATCATTTATATCATACAGAAGTCTTCTAAGATGATAAATAGAAGATACGATTTTAATAAAACTTTAAAGATTTGATTTAAACAGTTTTTTTTCAATTTTAAACTTTTAAGATTATGCTTTTAAACGAGTTTAATATGAATAAACCTCTGAAAAGCAGACTAGCATTGCATATGCTGGGGCATTGTGACCCCAGAGGCTCATCTGGACTGTCACTCCTCTCGTCTCTGTGAGGGTGTGAAGCTATTGTGAGTTATTTTATATTTATATATATATCATTTTTATATATATATATATATTAATTTAGCTAAAATTAAGGTTAAATTGTTTGAATACATTTGTCATTATACATTGAGTTATATACTTATTTGATTTTATGGAACCAGTGCAAAACAGTATGTAAAAAACAATGTAAAAATGCAATTTTCTGTGATGGTCGTGTTTAGGTGTACGGGGTAGAATATGCTGTTACAGTACAAAAATCATTATGGCTATATTAATAACAATTATACTTTAGGTCACCGTTAAACAAAATAATTACAGTAATCTTCTAAAAGATACGAATGTATTAAAACTGTAAAGATTTAATTTAAACAATCTTTTCATTTTTAAAAGCTCATATTTAAACGTTTACGATTACGCTTTGAAATAAATTTAGTACGAACAAAACTTTGGCTCTGGAAAGGCGTTAGCAGACTAACATTACATGATGCACAGAGGCTCATCTACTCTGTCATCCTATATCCTGAAGCTAACATTATTATAAAGTAACGTATTTCTCTGAAGATGTGCTGGTGATCGGAAGGAGCTTATAAGCAGGCTATCAATGGGGGTCTCTCACTACAGATAGGCCTATGTGGGGGTTTTCTCACAGATACTACTTGAGGAATTATTAAACATTTTCACACAATGTGTGAGATAACTTGTGAGAGCCGCAAATTTCAAAGTTCTTTACATGCACCCTGATAAATAAAAAAATATAGTCAAGTTTTCCCCAGAGACCATCGATATAGCATATTTGTTTTTTATGAATTCGTTGAATTTAATTAAAATCATATTTTTAAAAAGGTCTATTTCAAACTTTTAATGCTTATACACTATGAAATAAATTTAGCAAAACATTCACAGTCTCATTCTGATCACTGAACACACCCCTATGACTGTCAAACGCTGGTGTAAGAGTGAGAGAAATACTCTGCGGTTCTTTTAAACTTTAAATGGTCAATATGGACATCTATGTGATATGAGCTACTTCAACCCTGGTGAAAATGCAAGATGTTTTTTATTTTTATCTAAATCTAACATAATTGGTACAGTAAATTTGTAAAATATTTATTTTAAATAAACAGAATGCTTTTCAACTTCAGTAATTTAGTAAACTATTTATTTTATATATGATATATTTTAATTTATACACTTTTAAAGGAATAGAATGCTTTTCAACTTCAGTAATTTAGTAAGATTTTAAATGAACAACATGCTTTTTCAACTTCTGTGTGAGATAAACTTTCAAGGTCCCCAGCAATGTGGAGGGAGGGGAGGAGATCCATGCTGCTTCAACATACGCGTGCACACGCATACACACACACACACACACACAAACGACTCCCTAGCTGGTTACGGTCCAAAAAAATATATAATTGGAGATAGTTTTCAGAGAGATCCGGCGCTACCGTGTGGGAAGAAAACCCCTGCTCTCTAAACATGTAAGATTTTATTTTATATTCTTTTAAAGAACAGATAAACTATAACAGTTTTTTCTTATCACTTTCACACACACCTGCAATGATAAGCTTAGGCATAGCGGGGGGATGCGCTAAAAAATAACAATCCATCGCTTTGTAATTGTAACAACAAAGTCCAATACATATCAAACAAACTTCAAACGATTAAACAAACTGCCAGCATCCGTCATTTTGACAGAAGCTGTAAACGCAAGGGGCGGAACTAGATAAAAGGTAACAATCCATCGTTTTGTAACTTTAACATTCAAGGTCAATACATCTCAAACTAACTTCAAACGATTAAACAAACTGTCATCATTTTGACAGAAAGTTTAAAAGGAAGGGGCGGAACTAGATAAAGGCCGTCATCCATCATTTTGACAGAAAGTTTAACAGGAAGGGGCGGAACTAGGTCAAAGGTAACAGGAAGGGGAGGAACCGGAAGGGGCGGGACAAGAGGCGGGACAGGAAGGGGAGGAACCGGAAGGGGCGGGGGAAGATCAAAGGATAGCCACGCCCACCTGACAATCAATCAAATTGACAGGTGGTGTAGGCTATTAACTACTTATGATCAATAACATGCATTTCGAAAATAGATTTTAATTTTAATTTACATGGATTTTAGCACATTAACTTTAGCAGCTTTAAGATACTTCAAAAATGTAAAAAAATAAAAAACAGTTTTACAGTTTTTTGATACAGTTAAAATTAATAAAACCTAACAAAATTAAAAAGACAATTTGAACTTATTAACAAGTATTTTGAACAAATATAAGTTTACAATGAACAATAGTATATTTTTAAATTAGTTCATAATTCCTAATGCCTTAACTAATGTTAACTAATTGCACCTTATTGTAAATTGTTACCATTTGTTTTTCATGTGTAAATCCTGACACACTAAATTAAGGTAAATTTGCTCTACATCCAATTTATTCCACATTTAGTTCTCCATTTCAGAACTGATGTGCTCTACGCCAAGAATGGACTTACTCGGATCTGGCGCCACACACTCGCACTTGTAGGCCGTAACGTAGTCCGGTTTGAAGTCAGTGTTGATGGGATAGTATTTAAAGGATCCCACCATTTTCTTGATGGCATCAGAGATGAAGATGAAAGAGATGAGGCTGGAGAAGCCTTCCTCTGTGAAGCGCGTCATGTACTTTATGATGTAACTGGCATCCGTGACGACCAGGAGCAAACACTGCACGCAGGAGTGCATTCCGATCCACAGCCTAAGCTCCATGTAATCAATCCCATTATTCCTGAGGAAAAGAAAGTGGTAAGAAAAAACAAAGAGAGGTAAATACTAAAGCAGTGAACACAAGAGAGCAAGACATTATTTGCATCAGTGAAGACTAAGAGAGAAGATTTATGAGGGTCTTTCACTTGATGAAAGTGAGCAATCAAGGCTGTACTTTTTTTGTCCGCAATAATAGACTGTGAAATTATGATGGATTGGTGCGAATGGCTCTTACTTGCTGAATTCATAAAGCAGTTTCTCAAAGATGAGGATGGGGCCTGTTGAGCTGAGAATAATGAGAGGTTGACCGCTAAACAAGCAGAATACCGTTCCAGCTAGAGCGGTGCCCAAAAAACTCTCCATCACACCCTGACAGACAGTTAAACAGTGAGAGAGAGACAAGGAAACAAGGTGAGAAAGAGAGGGACCAAAAAGAAAAGGGCTATAGATGAAGCTAGGTCACAAGCGTGCTTGTTAAATGCTCCATAAAAGATGATGACATGCAACTTTAAGCAAACTGTCATGTTCAGTGTCGAGTAGAAAACTGCGAAGTGTACCTGGTAATTGTCTGTGGCATCCCCTAGAAGCCCCCCAAAGGTGATTGCATTGGTTATGCAGCCCAGGTAGATGAAGAGTACCGCAGAGATGGACTGAATGTGGATGCCTTCATAAAAGTCGCGCGGGTACCAGGGCATCTTCCTCTTGATGTCAAGGAAAAGGCCACCACAGAACCTGCCCCGTAAACATAGATGTTTAATCCATTATTCATCAGTGACTTGTCCTCTTTAGCTTGTATTAGACAGACAGAGGCAAAATCTATCTTGAATATTAGCACCGAATACTGGCACCAATTTTCTATCTCTAAGTCCTCACATACCCTCTAGCCCAAGTGCCAAAAAGAACATTACATTTTCCTTTTTCGACATATTGATCAAGATACAAACTCTCTTAAACCTTGGAGCTCTGAAGTATCTTTCAATTATTTGTAGAGACAGATAAAACAAGAACACTTTGAAACTCAAGCTATACCCAAAAGCTATACCCAAGAGTCTTTCAGCCAAAGTGTTTTAGAGACTATGCAAGGTCGAAGTACAAGAACTTTGTGTCTTTATGATCAACCGGCAAATGTAAATGTGCCGTACACTCAGTTGGCAGGGCTGTGCGCAATTCAGAACTAAATTGTGGTTGTCATTTAAATTTCAACTAAATTCCTGAATTTAAGCTGAATTTGAATTGAGGTGGCAAATATAAGGCAGAATTAAAATGGATGGATGGATGGATGGATGGTGCATAATTATGTCAGTCAGCGTATTCACACACTCACCTCCCCGTAAATGCCAATTCTTCGCCAAGTTCATGTGGAACAGGCATTTCCTCATCCTCGCCAGCAGGCCCTCCGCCGCCTGCTGTCCCGTTCATCTGACCCAGCTCATTGAGGGAAAACACAGACTTCCTTTTCAGAGAAACAAAGAGGAATGTAAAGATGTGAAGCATATGGGCCGAACAAAGACACAGAAGAAGAATGAGCTTTACCTTTTGTCTGCTGAGGGAATTTTTTTGGGGGGTTCTATGCGAATTTTGGGGTCCCATTCTCCAGGTGGAAGTACAATCACCTCGTCCAGGAACTCATCAATTCCAGCAATCAGATCCTCCCGGTCCCTGGCTTTATATGCTACATCACTGAAGAGCTGTGGATAAAACAGAGGAAATAAATATTTTGATCACTTTAAAGAGCAATGTATGATACAAGTTTATCTGGAAGAATTGAACATTAAAGATAAGAACGTACTGTATATGAAAAATATTAACTGCATAACAAATCAATCAAACTTACATCATCCACCATGAGAGTGGCAATGGCCCGTCCAATTTCATTGTAAGATTTGGCTTTACCAGGAGGCCCAAGTAGCACAAACAAGAATCTGTCCATTAAGAGATATATGGTCAAAGCTTTAGTTCATTAAACTTTTTCCATGATCTTTTTACAGACATAATGTGAGTTTTTAATGTGCAAAACTGTTACCTGGTGGGCACTGGGACTTCCGTCAGACCCCCAAGAGTAGTGGCCTGAGACAGCCGAACGAAGGCAACAAAGGGTTTATCTAAGAAGTCCACTTCTCCCACCAGAACATTGGATGCCTCTGCATCTCTTGGAATTTTCTTCATGAACTTGTTCTTCAGCTGAAATCAAAGTGAGTAAAGAAAAAATAACATAAAAGAATTTTGTTCGAACAAAAGGACCCATGTGCTGTCCTTTAACCCTTCTGTTCCATCACAGGACCCTTGTTGTCATTTAACTCAGGGGCTCTCAACTCTGGCCCTTGAGGTCCACTTTCCTGCAAAGTTCTCCTCCAACCCTAATCGAACACCTGAACAAGCCAATCGAGGTCCTCTGGATTACTAGAAAGTTACAGGCAGGTGAGTTTGATCAAGGTTGGAGCTAAACTCTGCAGAAAAGTGGACTTCAAGGACCAGAGTTAAGAACCCCTGATTTAACTCATCTGTTCCATCACAGGACCCTCATGTTGTCACTAATGCTTCTATTCCATCACAGGACCCTCATGATGTCACTAACCCTTCTATTCCATCACAGGACCCTCATGTTGTCATTTTACTATTCTATTCCATCACAGAACCCTCATGTTGTCATTAACCCTTCTATTCCATCGCAGGACCCTCAGGTTGTCATTAACCCTTCTATTCCATCACAGAACCCTCATGTTGTCATTAACCCTTCTATTCCATCACAGAACCCTCATGTTGTCATTAACCCTTCTATTCCATCACAGAACCCTCATGTTGTCATTAACCCTTCTATTCCATCGCAGGACCCTTATGTTGTCATTAACCCTTCTATTCCATCACAGAACTCTCATGTTGTCACTAACCCTTCTATTCCATCACAGAACCCTCATGTTGTCATTAACCCTTCTATTTCATCACAGAACAAGACTAACACGCAAAGATATGAGTTACAATTAAAAGACAAAAATAATTAACACTTTCCTGTTACAATAGGCTATATCTTCATAAACAAAGCAGGACAGTAGTAAATGAGTGTTGTAACTGGTGGCTATAGCCTTGTACATTGTGTGCACATGAAAAAAAGATGGAAACAGTGACACTATTTTTCCAAAGGGAACAGACCGCAGCTCCCGGGTATCTCTCTGCATGTGAGAGCTTAGCACGAGGACCACACGGTCAGATGGCACGTTTTACCAATGGCAGATCAATACTGACCTAGACACCAGGCCACGGCAATGCACATCTCATCAGATCGGTAGAACCACACACACACACACACACACACACACACACACACACACACACACACACACACACACACACACACACACACACACACACACACACACACACACACACACACACACACACACAGCAACCTCTATCATATATGCTGCTAAGTTTACTTTTTAGTACAAGCACAGTTTCAACAAAATAAACTATCAAATACATCAATAAAATTTTCTTAAAGACACAATTTATAAAATGTCTCCAGCAAAATATGAAAAGTTTATAATGGCAGGAATTTCTCATTTTGGTGATGAATCTGAAGGACTACAGAACTGTCTTTCTGTGACCTCAAAACATGGTGAAATCATGGTCAACTCTAAGATTATACCTTTTTATATTAAGAAAAAATATATACATTGTGTTGATTTAAATTCTTCATCAATTTCCAATATGTTGATGATAAAGAAAGCAGAAGAGGCATTGATTTCTAGAATCTGTCTGAATTTGTCAGTCAAGTCAGTGTGAAAAACTGGACACGGCAGCTAAAAATAGTATCAAAGCAAATACAAAAAATCTGTGAAGATGCTATTGTGAACAATATAATCGCTATCGTGCCTTGTCAAATTGGGGCTTTCTATTACAGATAAAGACACATTGTGATAACATGTGACTCACCTGGTCTGTGCTTGGTGAGTCTGCAATGTCATTCATGCTCCTGCTTTGAGCGTGGCCTGCGGACACAGGTACAAATATACACAGAAATGCAATTACAAATATTTCCTCAAAATTATACATATTTAAGTCTTACTCCAACATGATATAAAGCTGACTAGCTATTTAACAACTAATCTAGCATCACTCACTTATTTAATTAAAAATCTACTCTTTCTGGACAGCTCTAATGAAAAACCTTTCTATAAAAATGCAAATTAAAAACACAAAATGTTGATCAACCACATTATCCTAAGCAGAATTAACTCTTTAATTGCTTTTAACCAAACCCAAGATCAATTCTTTCTAGATGAATACAATATGGGTAACAATTTACAATAAGGTTCTAATTGTTAACATTAGTTAACATGAACTAACAATGAAAAATAGTAATCTTGGTTAATGTTAATTTCAACATTTACTAATACATTATTAAAATCAAAAGCTATATCTGTTAATATTATTTAATGGACCTGAGGTGAGCTAACATGAACTAACAATGAACAGTCCTATTTTTTATTAACTAATGTTAAAAAAGATTAATAAATACCGTAACAATGTATTGCTCATTGTTAGTTAATTAATGCATTAACTAATGGGACCTTATTGTAAAGTGTTTCCTGTCAGGGTTATGTGCTGTTTTCCTGTGTTTTGCACATGTTTCCTTTGTTCCAGTTCCCTTTCGAGAACGGTCACTTCGTATTGCGTAGCTAATACACAGTGGGGAACTCCGTTCCTCGAGAAATATTGAAGCTAATAATTTCAAACGCAGTGCAGCTGCACAGCGAACACAGCAGAGCGTCTAGCTCGCCCATTGGCTGTGCTGCGGCAACTGCACATCCTATGGCCAAGCGCCCATGACTTGGCGCCCAACACTTTAGAGCGTGCCTAAATGGGCATGGCTTAAGCCTATAAAGAGTGCCCATTTTGGCCATCTAGCAGATTTTCTCTCCTTCAGCTTCACTTCACATATCTGACTCCTCTCAAGCCTTCACCGTGGAAACAAGCCAGACAGCTAGAGCGAGCCCTTGCAAACAGCGGACAGTGCCTTTAACTCACCTCGAAGCCGTTCTCTTCTGTCGCTGCTCTCCTGTGGCCATCCGGCGGAAAACGCTATAATATCCTTTTACTGCTACTGTTGTGTTCGCCACTGCAACACTCAGTTCTCAAAGAGAAATTTCAGCGAGCGTTGTTACAAATGCCTCGCTCTTCATGCACCTCGTGCAGATCATCTATACACGAGGATGATGGGCACACGGAGTGCGCCACGTGCCTGGGACCCGGCCGCGCTGAAGCTGCACTCTCTGCCGCGGGCTGCTCTCACTGCGTAGTGCGTACGCCTGCCCATCTCAATGCTGCGGAATGCAGTTAGCTCTTTCGAGACGGCGACACCGCTCCTCCTGCTCCTCCTTTCCCTGCACTACTTCAGCCGCGGAAGAAGAAGCGCCGCAGCCAACGGCAGCCCGAGCACATGGAAGTAAGTGAGCCCACGTCGGCCACGTCCCCTGCGTGCCTCGCTTTCTCCATCTCAGTATCCTTCGCCTGTCCTGTCCTCCCTTTGAGCGGCGGGTCTCGTCTCCTTCGGCGGATCGGATGAAGAACACGACAGCCTCTCCATTGCGGAAGAGTGGTCGAGCTCGGTTGACCCCGCCCTCTCACAGTCTGCTGCTAGCGCAGCTACTAGCAGGACTAATTCGGACGCCTCACTGTGGCCGTTTCAGACCTCGGTTTCGAATGGGCCTCGCCTGAGGAGCCGCCTAGGAGTTGGCTGGATGGATGGTTCCTGCCAGGGCGCCTGCAGGCCCCCCGCCACAAACCAGCGCCCTGAGGTCCACGATGAACTCACGAAGTCGTGGCGCGCCATACTCGGCATGCACAAGCCCTTCTACTTCCGCTACGCTCTCCTCTGTTGACGGCGCAGCGGAAAAAGGTTATGAGAAGCTGCCACCGCTCGAGGAAGCAGTCGCTGCCCATCTGTGCCCGCCCACTGCTGCTGGCTGGAGATCTAGAACAGTACACCCCTCGAAGCCCTGCCGAAACACTTCAGCCCTCGCTGGACGTACCTTTTCTGCTTCCGGTCAGGCTGCATCGGCTCTGCACACCATGGCGGTTTTACAAGTGTTTCAGGCCAAGCTTCTCCAGACAATGGACGAGTCTGGCCTGAACCCTGAGGCGTTCCGTGACCTGCGCAGCGCCACAGACCTAGCTCTGCACGCTACAAAGGCTACCGCTCAGGGGAACCAGCAAAGGGTATGGCTAACCTCGTCGTGCTTGAGCGCCACCTCTGGCTGAACCTCACGGACATCAAAGAGGCGGAAAGGACGGCGTTCCTCGATTCACCTATCTCCAGCACCGGTCTCTTCGGCCCAGCTGTGAAAGGGTTTTCTGAGAGATTTACAGAGGCGGAGAAGTCTTCTCAAGCTATGAGACACTTCCTGCATTAGCGCTCCAGCTCTGCCTCGAGCCGCCACAAGAGCACGCCACCTCCTCAGCCAGCGAAACTAGCGCCTCGGGTCTCTCAGCCCCACCCTGTGGCTGATACCCGTCATCACTCAAGATCAGCTAAGCGCTACCGTGTTGGACCCTGAACCGCCGAAGCCCTCCTAGCTACAGGGGGAAAGAGAGAGGGTCTGAGTCTCCCTCTAGCCGGACCGCCCTCGAAAAGAGCTCATTTAAATCTCACAGCTCCCTGTTCAGCTCAGGCTGCTGGAGATTTTCATATTGTAGTCAATGGGCCGTTGCACTGCACGCGCCACTACAAACAAACGCTGTTTTCACAGCGACCCAAATAAAGCACAAAATGAGTATGTTTCAAACACACAACACCCGGGTAACCGGTCCCCCTTTACCTGGGGGGGACACGTGCTTCGCACCAAAGTACAAAATCTGCTAGCAAAAGGGGCGATAGAATTAGTCCCCCGCCCCCGCGCTGAGCCGATCAGGGTTTTACAGCCGCTACTTCCTTGTGCCAAAGAAGGACGGTGGCACCCACCCCATTTTAGATCTGAGACATCTGAACAAAGCTCTCATGAGACGCCCGTTCAGAATGATAACTACCAAACAAATCCTCGCGCAGGTTCGCCCAGGGGATTGTTTTTTTACGGTGGATCTGAAAGATGCTTACTTTCACATTCAAATAATGTCCAATCACAGGCCATTCTTGAGGCCATTCTGTCCCTAGCACCTCGTACTTTCACGAAGTGCATGGAGGCAGCGCTTTCTCACCTGAGGCAACAGGGAGTGCGCGTGCTTAACTATCTCGACGATTGGCTCATTATGTCTCAGTCGAAGACCGAATTATTGACACACAGATCCATGCTCCTCAGCCACTTGGAATGCTTGCGCTCAGGATACATTTTTCCAAAAGCAAACGGTTGCCCAGCCAGAACGTAATCTTTCTGGGCACAGTTATCGACTCTACAATGATGAGAGCGCGGCTCACACCAGAGCGCGCTCTCTCTATCCAACAGCTGATAGCCTTCTTCTTCAGGGTAGGTGCGCGCACGCCCCTCAGAAAGTTTCAGAGGCTTCTCGGTCTCATGGCCGCTGCATCGTCAGTACTCCAGCTAGGATTACTGCATATGCGCCCCCTTCAGAACTGGCTAAAGCGCCGTGTGCCAGCCCATGCGTGGCAGTCACTTTCGCTGAAAACTGCTCTGCTGCTGGCCCTGGCATCAGTCAAGCGAGTGGGAGATTTGCAGGCGCTCTCATTGAGCCCTTCCTGCCTGGAATTTGGGATAGATGACTCCGGGGTCACTCTCAAGCCAAGGCATGGTTATGTACTTAAAGGGATAGTTCACTTTGAAATACATTTTTGATATGTTTTAGCTTACCTCAAGGGCATCCAAGATGTAGGTGTCTTTGTGTCCACAGTATTTTCAATTTTGTTATTTTTAGGTCAAACCGTTCTTGTCTGTCAGTCATATAATGCAGGCCTATGGGGTCCACCTCAAAGAGCATACACAGAGAAGTCCAAATTAAACATGATTTAATGACTCGTAAATGTAAGTACACATTGATGGCCTAAGACACGAAACGGGCGGTTTGTGTGAGAAAACGAACAGTATTTATATTGTTTTTACCTCTTGTAATCACAGTCACGTCCAAGTACTCTGATGGCGCTGGCGCCTCTGTCTGCGCAAGCGCCGGCAAGCGCCGGAAAGCCCCGGAAGTGATCTCTCGCGCGTGTACGTCACTCATTGTTTACACAGAGATTTCGGATGTTTTACCTTTCACTGTGAAGATCTAAACATATTTAGATATACAGGAAATCGCAATGGAAGACGATTTCGGAAAGAAATTAGAAAAAAAGAGAGATTTTACGTCCGAAATCTCTGTGTAAACAATGAGTGACGTACACGCGCGAGAGATCACTTCCGGGGCTTTCCGGCGCTTGCCGGCGCTTGCGCAGACAGAGGCGCCCGCGCCATCAGAGTACTTGGACGTGACTGTGATTACAAGAGGTAAAAACGATATAAATACTGTTCGTTTTCTCACACAAACCGCTCGTTTCGTGTCTTAGGCCATCAATGTGTACTTACATTTACGAGTCATTAAATCATGTTTAATTTGGACTTCTCTGTGTATGCTCTTTGAGGTGGACCCCATAGGCCTGCATTATATGACTGACAGACAAGAACAATAACAAAATTGAAAATACTGTGGACACAAAGACACCTACATCTTGGATGCCCTTGAGGTAAGCTAAAACATATCAAAAATTAATTTCAAAGTGAACTATCCCTTTAAGGTGCTCTCAACTCATCTCAGGTTATTACATTATCAGCACTTCCACCCTCAGAGAACGATGGGGAGGCTAATTTGCTCTGTCCTGTTATGGCTCTAAAAGTGTACTTGGAGCATTCTGCGCCGTTTAGGCAGTCAGAACAGCTCTTTGTTTGCTTCGGCGGTTGCACCAAGGGGTTACCGATCACGAAGCAGAGACTGTACAGATAGATAGTGGATGCCATCTCCCTGGCATACGCTTCTGTGGGCCAGGTTTGTCCCATAGGCGCTAGAGCCCACTCTTCGTGGGCTTGGTACAGTGGTGTGACAATTAATGACATTTGTGCGGCAGCCATTATACATGTCAGTATAACATGTTACTGTCCATAAGCACAAGTTGTCCTAGGACTCTTACAAGTGAGCCCCAGCCCCTTATTCATGAAACCCGACTCAGGTCCGTTTGCTGTCACTTATATATATATTTTTTTTTTATGGCTTGTTCTGTGAGCCTCGTGGTGTTTCCCTAGGCTCCAGTTGGATGCAGCCAGTTGCTAATGGTGCGGCGTTTTATATTGCGTCCCCACTGCGTATTAGCTACGCAATATGAAGTGACCGTTCTCGAAAGGGAACCGAGGTTACGCTAGTAACAGAGTACGTTTTTCCACCTGTTTGTTTGCTGCTTAGGTTACTGATTTAGTTGGACACCTGTTAATCGTTGCTTTGACTGCTTTGGTATTGTATAAAATGAGCTTGCTTCCTGTCAGTCTTTGTTCGGTAGTTTGGTAGTGTAAAGTTGGTTGTTCCATCCGTGTTTAGATCCAGAGAATCCTGAGTGCTGTGTTAAGTAAATTGTAAATAAAGGACTGCTGAACTTAAATCTAGCTTTATTTTCTTCCCAGCTCTTCAACCAGCTGTGGCATTAGCAGAATATGCAATAATACAGTGGCGGGCCGTGCATTTCACACCTAGGCCTTCAGTAGTGTCCTACCTGAATTAATAACTTTTAATAGTGTAGCAGCACACAGACTCTCTATAATTGTTGTGAAATTGCTGTTTTTATTTTGTACCGGCAGTTATAGGGTTAATGCGGTGAGTTCGGAAAAGGCCGGGTAGAGAGAAACGAGCGAGTAAGTTTGGCTTGTGTTGTGCGTTAGTGTACAGTGGTTCTTGCGTTCCGATTATAAGTTCAGAAACGGAGCCTCCCTTGTCTTGTCCTTCAAGGGTTACAATAGTCTAATCAATAGTCAATAGCGCTCTGACCATCCAATCAAAAGACGTGAAAATACTAGATGCTGCAGTCAAATCGAAATCTGATTGGCTGATTAAGTATTATCTGAATGGTTAAAGCAACAGTTTCATTGCCATTCCTTTTAAGCTACAGGCGCCCGCATTATTGATTCTGAAGGCCTCAAGGCAGATTTCTTTGGCCATGGCAACACATGATGGCTGAAATATGATTGGATAAAAGCTCTAACATAAACATACACTACTGGAAGCAGCGCAACCAAGAGAAAAGAATGGACTATTGGGAATAATTTAATACTCATTAATGGAAAAATATATTAAGTGCAAGTCAGTGATTCTGAGTGTTTAGGCCAGCAGAGAAGGCCTTGCTGGCCCTGACGGCCCACCACTGCAATAATAATAAAAAAGGATTAAAAGAGGCGCAAAGACTCACGTAGTCGGCCATAGTTTGCTTGCTTGCTACGCAGATCTTCTGTAGAGCGATTAAAATTTGCTCCAGTGGCAGGAGTTCGGGCTGGGCTCCGAGCTATGAGAGACAAACAACATTACTTTTTTCTTTTTATTACCTATTAAGCAGCAGACAATGTTTTTCTAATAAGCTGATGTTAATGAACTGTGTAAAAAAAGAGCAATGAAAGAACACACTGAAAAAATTTAAATGGGATTGGGATTGTTCACCAAAAGTCTATCATGACCTACTCACCCTCATGTCACTCAATTGAAGCCCATGTGATCTTATTTATGCTCAGGTTGAATTTAACAATGGGCTTGTCAGTCTAAACAACGAAAGTGGATGGTGACCAGTGGCTGTAAAGTTCCAAAAAGGAAAAAAAAAAAAAACATAAAAGTAATATGAAGTTTTGTGTTTTTGTGCTTCCTTTATTTTTTCCTTTTTAGAGCTTTACATCCACTTTGCTCTCGTTATATGGAAGATAGTGGCCTGAATGCTCTGCTGATAAACTTATTTAGTTTTTTCAAGAGTTTACACAATATAAGTGTGAGTAGATAAGGATCATTTTTGGATTAACTGTAATTTTAAGACCATTAAAGTCCCTGTAAAGGCAATTAAAAAAAAAATTCTAAACACATTATAAATGTTAGAAATGTATTGCTAAAACATATTACAAAGACTGTGAACTGTGAAGTACTGATTTGTGGAGTTAGACCGTTAAACAGTTTTTCACCATTGCTATTTTCCGGATTTTCTGGGCGGGGCTAAAACAGGGCTCGATGACGCACTGGAGCCCCTGAGCTCCTGGACATGCCCCTACTTGATGACGCACTGTAGCCGCTGAGGCTGGCCGCTCCTAACATGGCTCCTAACAATAGAGCACATTCACATCAGTTTGCCGCTCAATCGCGAGTTACTGTCAGCACTATTATTAGTAACACAGCCTACAGATTGCTAGCTAGCTATGCCTTCGTCACGGAAATGCGTAGGCCTACTACCTGGATGCGATCACCGGATCACGTACAAAACAGATCGGTGTCCTTATTTAAATTTCCGAAAAACGATTACATCAAGAAGAAGTGGATTAATTTTGTGAAGAGCCACCTTGATGGAGAGCTGAGGATCACCGCCAACACCCGCCTCTGTAAGTGATCATTTTACACGGGATAGTTTTATAAACTTTCGTCGGAGATAACTGTCTGGGATTCACTGATAATCCGCTGTTACTGGTGAATGGGGCCGAACCGACTCCCGCCTGGCCTTCATCCTCCCGTCGCGCCGACAACTGGTGCCATCATCGGCAGTGCGTGCCCACCGTGCGAGCATCCATTCTGGCTGTAGAGTTGAGTGTGGCGAGTCGACGGCAGCTTTCCCGCGAGTGGGCGTGGTTTCAGCGCAGCCAGTGGACACGCCTCCAGCGTTTGAGAGCAGAGATTACTGCTCATTTCTTCAAGATTTTGATAGCTTATTTTATGTACTTGCTGGCTTTTTTTATCATTCAAATTTGGCTGGGTGACTAATAACTAATTTTTCTGTGGTGTGACAAACTCAAAACACATACTTAATTTTGACTTTACAGGGACTTTAAAGGGGTCATATGATGCGATTTCTTGTTTTCCTTTATCTTTAGCGTGTTATGTAGCTGTTTGTGCATGTATAAGATCTGCAGAGTTACAAGTCTCAAACCCATAGAGATATTCTTTATAAAAGTTAAGTCTCAGCCACGCCCTCCTAAAACGCTTCATTCAAACACGCCCCCACAAATCTACGTAAGTCTGTGGGGGCAGAGTTTCCTAACACCGCCCAAAAGTGCACGGCTACAGGCAAAGATGCCGCCGGCGCAGCCATTCCATGGAGACGCTGGGTTTTTCGTTGCGAAAGCCAAACTACTTTGTTTGGCCTTCCAAAAGAGGACACAATTAGAAAACAGTGGTTACGCTTTATTTAAAACACTATTCAAGAACAGTACAACCAAAATATTATACTGTGTGTTGCGCATTTTTCGGGGGACAACTTTCGGGGGACAACAACAGAACCTGGGAGAGTTACAAGGCCAGCTGTGATGCTATTCTAAAAAGTGGGGCAATTAACGTTACATCTTTGCAAGTACAGTCTGGCGCTTCTGACTCAGACACAGCCACATTAAGTATGTTTTCATATTTTAAGAATTTGCTACTGACTATTCAAAGCGAGTTTTGAGCAGTATAGCGCTTGTTTGTCGTTTTTACGATCACAAATGCAGACATGGTTTTATGTTTACATAGTGTTCTCACCTCCGTAGTGCGACGCGACACATAAAAAAAGTCATTATAATCAGTAAAATGTCCCCAATGAAATAAAACCTTACCAATCTGATTGAGCAAAGTTGATCGATCAGCTTGGTCATCTGCATTTTCCGGATCAGATTTGGGCTCGAATTGATACGGTAGTACCAACATTATCACCTGTCATTATTGCTTTGGGAGCTGATGTTCCAAATATGGTAAGGGGCGTGACATTTCCGTCAGAGAACACAGCACTTTTCAGAACAATGAGCTTTGTAAAAATCGACGTGTTTCAGAAAGGCGGGGCATAGAGGAGCAACAATAATGTACGGTATGTGTAAAATAATGACTTTTTTTAACCTAAAACCACGTAAACACATTGCATTAAACCAAATACACAAAATAATGTTCTTTTTAGAACCGTCATATGACCCCTTTAAAGGGATAGTTCACCCAAAAATGAAAATTCTGTCATAATTCCAAACCTGTATGAGTTTCTTTCTTCTGTTGAACACAAAATACAATAGCCATTGATTTCCATAGCATTTTTTTTTTCTACTCTGAAAGTCAATGACTTTTGTCAACTGTCTGGTTACCAACATTCTTCAAAATATCTTCTTTGTGTTCAACAGAAACTCATACAGGTTTGGAACAACTTAAGGGTGAGTAAATGATGACACGATTTTCATTTTTGGGTGAACTATCCCTTTAAGCAATTAGGCTGCATTCTACATTAAGATGCAAAAAATTTAAAGATTGAAGACTCACTGGGTCCTCCAGAGCCAGACTTGCCCAGATCCGCAAGGGAGCGATGGATTGGCTTCTTTGTCTGGTGTCTGTGCTTTCTCAACAAAACAAAGCTGATTTTATCTCTCAGATCAGGACTGATCAACCCTTCCTCTATCTGACGTTCGATGATGTCATCTGCATGAGACAAAAGTTAAAGTGGTTTGCTTTAAAAGTACATTGGTAGCAAACCAAAATGCATAAAAACTGTAGAAAAACATTGATGCATCAAAATAAAAAAAACAATGAAAAAGAAACACTTTTATGAATTACACTTCAGTATGCAAGACTATATCTTGTTGTACAAAGGATTAGATTGTTCAGAGTACATCAGTAGCCTCCCATCAGATGAAAAGCATCCAGAATAAAGAGCGTCATTGCTCACCAACTATCTGTGGGAGTGAATATCCCTCCAGGTCCAGCAGCACGGTGCCTGTCTGTAGGCATGTCCGCAGTTCAAACAGGCTGTGCAGGGAGAGCGTGGAAACGTGGGGTTTGCTCCATCTCTCCCCACCCTCCTCGACCTTTTCCTCAAACTTCACCCACCTGCAGATATGCACAGTCACACACAAAGTTAAAGTCAAGCAGAGAAAAAAGGAAATGTAAGTCGGTTCTGATGTCGTTCTGATGAGGATGCTGTTTGTTTTAAGGTGAAATGTGTAATTTCTGTTTCACTAGAGCAGAGGTGCCCAAACCTTTTAGTACAAAGGGCCATAAATCAAACTTGATTGACCATAGGCCAAAAATAAATGTTGCATTATATCCAACCATATTACATTAAAACGTTAGTTTTAAAAATCTAAAAGCACCATTTATAATGGTTACAAATGACAAATATCTGTGCATTCTGACAAAATAAACAAATACATAAATAGATTTCTTTCCTTTACAGCTCAGTATATTCACTAGAAGTAATTAATCACATCAGTAGTTATTTTAGAATTTTAAAATTAGCTTTTTATTTTGTTTTCATTTTCATTAAAAACATTTTTGCTGTCATGTTTTTGCTTTTGCATTTTGTTTTTTTATAATTATATTGCCGTTTTAGCTTTAGTTCAGTTTTAGTTTTTACTCATTTTATTATCTAAGTTAGTTATTAAGGCCACATTTCTAATTGTTAAAGTTTTTCATCTGATTTTTATATTTCAGCTTTATTTCAATTAAAGAAAATATTTTTTATTGTTTTACTTTTATGATAATGATCAAATGATAATTACCGTGCATGGTGTCTTTATGGATACATAACTGGTTTGAAACCACTAAGCCACAGAATTGAAATGATTTTGAATTTCCAATTGGTGCAAGACTGATGCCATTCGTGATGCCTTTGTGAGTATGTTTTTATACCTTGCTGATTCTTTCCACTCCAGCTCGTCTCCCTCGTGTTGCAGCGTGTCCATCTCAGTGAAGAGAGTGGGTGTGGGCATGGCCTCCTCCTCATCCCCTAAAATGTAGCGCAGTCGTTCTGCTGCAGGGGACACTGTGAAATGAATAGGAAAAGAAGTGATTGAAAACTTTCTTGCTTGGGTCTCACTCAGTCAGAGATCAGAATGAGATGGCCTTCAAAAATAAAAAGTGCAGTGGAATGCAGCACCACACACAGTGAAAGTATTTGCTCAAAAGTTAAGAAACAACAAGGATCCCCACTGTGTATGTTTGATACATTGCTGTGATGATTGCCTGTGCCTGGAGGAATACCACAGTGTAAGCCATTGTTCATTAATTTTCTGGGTGAGGACTAAATCTGTGAGCTGTGATTGAAGCGGAGAATCCACACTGTGCTTGTTTTTCTGGGCTTGTTTGAGGTGATGCCAGGGAGCATGTTGCAAAGTCCAGGCCTTTCTGGTCTTTTTTTGTGTTTTCATTTCTTTGCTCAGCATTTCCCAGCTCTAACACCTGTTAGGTACATCTTTATTTGTTACTATGGTTTGATCATTGCTGCCTGTTTCATCCACACAGAGGCTTCCTGAGGACTAAAGATATGACTCAAGAAGAGACACGTGGAGAACAGAAGCCCATAGATGTCAAGATGTGAAAGAGGTGGCGGCATAATAAAGAGCAGAGAAAGAGTCTCTTTTAATGCCAGTGTGCATGCTTGGAAGTCAAACTTTTATGAGAGCATAAGTGTCTTCAAAACTATCAGCTACCAGTCTATTATATGTGAAGATTGTTAGACTAAACACGGAGACCACAGCTGACAGAGAAACAGGAGTTTTATTGAAAAGGCAAGAGGCAAGAATGCAAATTGGCCTGCTGTCATGGACACTTCAATTATCATAATTCAGCAATATTATACATGAACAGGTGATTACTAAGAAGCTGTTGACAATTGAAGTTTAATTCCAAAAATGTTTAATTATTCACAGCTGTAAGTGAGGCCAGGAAAGTGTCCAAAATCGCCCCCTATACCCATAAATAAGGTGCTATTTGAAGGGACAGCCATTTGTAGTGTTGTCCGAAACCTAGTGGACATTATCGAGTGCACTCATTCAATCCCAAAAGGTACACTAAACTGTATATATCTATGCACTCAGCGACTAGAGAATACCCACAATGCACTGTGAGGGTCATGCCGAATGAATTCCCGCAATTAATTAATTATTAGTGGAGTAAAAGGTGCTATTTCAAACAGCTATTGAGTTACATGTCAGCAGCAAAGGAGGTTATGGCCTTTTTAGCCCATGTCAGAGGCATTAGTGTTTAAAAAATGGGAGATTTATAGTAATAAAGCTGCTTAGACATGATGTGTATTTGTAGGCCAAGCAGGACGGCTAATTCGGCATGGTTTCAACATTCATGTTTTGTCCCATGTCATAAATTATCTGTATTCATCGAAAGTGATTTCTTTTACAACATAAGTTGCTAACAAATAGCCGTTTGTTCGCATCAGTGTTGTTATTGTTAACTAAAACTATCAAAAGAAATGTTGCCTTGGCAACTAACTGAAATAAAATAAGTTGAAGTGCTTAAATTACAAAAACTTAAACTGAATACAAATCAATTAAAGCTAAATAGAAATATATTTAAAAGTGCATGTCATGTTATTTTGACTTCAAATATACCCATTTTGTACATAAGTATATTATTAGTGTGCTAATTTAGCATAGAAGTACAAAATTAAGGAGTGTTGCACTTTCTCTGATTGTTTGCTTATTTCATTGTTCTGTGCTGACTGCAAACTTTGATGCCCCGTAAGTTGTTTATTCTCAAGCGTTTAGAGATGCATCACCATAATTGTTTTTCATGGTCTTCTATTTTGCAGTGATGACTCTATCCTGCTCTCGGCACAGCATGATATTGAGAGTGAGGGTGTGGGGTATATCTGATAAACCAGGCACAACTCTATTTCACTCACACACACACACACAGAAAAATGTATGGCAATATTGCTCCCTATATAGTCCTCTTGAATTTGCATTCTCACTTTCAGATTTCCTTGAGTCCACTACCTCACAGGGCATTTGAATTTAACCATTTCCCATCTTTTACACTTGTTGGATATAAAATCCATTGTGATTCTACATTCTACTGCCTGGTTTTGTGGGGTCACCAGTCTTTTGGGTCATCATATTGGCAATAAAAAAGTAAGTAAAGGTCTGAAATGTTTCCTTTTTTTATCCTGCTCAGTCACAAGACACAAGTATCATCATATGATGTAATATACAGGACACACTTTACAAATCACTAATGTGAAGGACTTCAAGCTCTGTTTCAGAACTGATCGAGGACTCACTGGTTCTGTTGATGTCTGGTGGCAGGCTGAGTTCTGGATTATCCAGGTTTGCCGCCTCTAGATCGTATCGGTCTCTGTCATCACAATCATAGTGTTCTTGTCTGTGATGGTCGTGCCGAAGTCTTCGTTCTACATCTGCATCGTGACTCGACATGGACGACCGTCTCCGCCTGCGTTTGCGACGGTAACCGCGGGGGACTGGAACACCAATGTAGATGGATTGATGATCTGAGAAAGGCAGATCACACTATGAGAAGAAGCTTAACAACATATTGTTCGATGTCTTGGATATCATTGATTTTGGAAAGTAATTTCATGCTCCATAGAAAATGTTTTGCTCATTCAAGCCAACATGTTCAAGACCAAAAGTGGCATGATCTGGTGTAACTATTGATGGTGTAGCCCTCAATACTGACATTGTAGGATCGATAAATAGCCTATTTATTTGAAATAGTGTTTCCAGTTCTGTCAAAGCACAGACAGAGAATCTCTAGCCATAATAAAAACATACTGTTTAAATTCACTCTCATCCTGCCATTCATCAAATTATTGGAGCAAAGCAATTATTGGAAGGATCCATTAATCCAGAAAAATATGAATAAAGGTTATTGTTATGTTTTTATTATAATGAAAAAGGATTCAAGTGTTTGCATAGCATTTCAACATTGATAATTATAAGAAACGTTTCTTGAGTACCAAAGCAGCATATTGGAATGATTTATGAAGTATCACATGACAAGACTGGGGTAATGATGCTGAAAATTCAGCTTTCCCATCACAGGAATAAATTACATTTTTAAATTTATTAAAATAGAAAACAATATTTCTGTATTTTGGATCAAATACAATGAAGCCTTGGTGAGCAAAAGAGATTTCTTTAAAAAATAAAAGTAAAATAAAATGTATCGTCCCCAAACTTTTAAATGTTAGTGTATGTAATATGGAGACGGCCCCACAAGATTCACTGTCAAAAGCAACATATTATTTTCTCCCTTAGGGAACACTGGCTTTAACTGTCAGGTTAATAAGTGAAAGCGAGCGAAAATATGAAAAACATTTTTAGCTGTTGGCACAGTAACAATAACTCAACTAATTTGAACATAATGTGCTTTGTACAATATTTCCTTTTCTATCTATTTGAGATGGCAAAATGGCAGGATATTTTCTGACACTTTGTTTTCTTGAGTGGGTCTGTCAAATCTTGAAAAGATAATGGGAAGAAAATGACAGTGGGTTAAAAGGAGCCTGTTTCTGGCCCAGTTTTTGTTGTAGCCATATTTAGGAGGTGCTCAGCAATTGATAGGAGCACATGTTTAAGTGTAACCTTGTTGAAGCACAAATTCTACAATCTTATATAAACTAAACTATAAACTATTATGTTTAATAAGCCCATTTTGTTTATAAAAGGTGGCAAAAGTAAACATGTATATGCATTAGAAGATATCTGACAATTATAACTACACTCTTAAAATAAAATAAAATATTAGCAATTTAGCATTGATGATTCCATGAAGAACCTTTAACATCCATGGAATCTTTCCATTCCACAAAATGTTCTTTATAGTGGAAAAAGGTTCTTTGGATCATAAATATGTTCTTTACACGAAGAAAACAGTGCTTCTTTTAAGAATTGTTCACTGAAACTTTCTTTGGGGAACCCAAAATGGTTATTCAATGGCATCGCTGTGAAAATTCTTTTTGGAGCCTTTATTTTTAAAAATGTATTTTTAAATAATATCTTTATTTTTATTTTATTTTTTATTTGTTTGATTTTTCTCTTTGCATTTTTTCTTCAACCAAACAGTGAGTTAAGATAAAATGTCCCAAACTAACCTCACTGCACAACATGTAACTACTGTCATGCTGATTGCGCGTGCGTGCGTGCGTGCGTGTGTGTGTGCGTGTGTGTGTGTGTGTGTGCGTGCGTGCGTGCATGTGTGTGTGTGTGTGTGTCTGGTTTCATGCCTTGGGCTACTCACCCTCCTCCTCCTCATCATAGCGGTAACGACTGTTTCCCATGCCTCGATCATGGTCCATCCTGAGAGAATGCAGATAAGAAGATTTAATATTGATAAATATGGCAAAGAGAATGCAAAAAGGTGTTTGCTGTTTTTGAGTCTGTGATATGTAAAATGTTGCAAAGCAAATGTGTAAGTCTGTGTAACATCCTGAAAATATTTCAAATCATCACGCTCTCTCGTTATGATTTTCATTATGATCATTTTGATCATGCACAACAGAAGGTCAGGGGCATGACTTGGGGCAGTGGCACACACTGGGCATTGAGCTTCCTCCTGAATCTCTGCCAATCCCAGATCAATAGTGAAATAATTAACAGAACAAATGCCCGATGGAAAGATACATAATTACACGACTAGAGGAAAACTCATGTCTAACTAAAAGGCCAGTCTCTTCCATTCACTATAAAGCCACAATCATTTTCTCACTGGTTACTATTTTGATATACACTTACAATAATGAGCACAAATTAAACGTCTACATTTTAGGAGCTGAATTACTGAGATTTAATGACAACTGTGAAACTGAATTACTACTGCCTGTTGGCTTTTAAAGATATTCTGGATACAAAACAATAAATGTGCAATAGGCTTTTTGTGAACACTACACACTGTGTAAATTGTTTATGCTTCTAATCAATCTAGCTCTTGTGCAATTGGGAATTAAAATACACTGTCATTTAGAAGTTTTTGAAATAAATTAATCCTTTTTGTCAGCAAGGATGCATTAAATTGATCAAAAGTGACAGTAAAGATAGTTACAAAAGAGTTATATTTCAAATAAATCCCATTCTTTTGAACTTTTTTTTTTCACGGTTTCCACAAAAATAGTAAGCATCACAACTTTTTAATATTGATAATAATAAATAATGATAATAATAAAGGAGCATGTGACACTGAAGACTATAATTGCCAGTGTTGGGGAAAGTAATGCAGTACAATATTGTGTAACTCCCCAAAAAAGTTACTTATTGCGTTACTTAGTTACTTTTTATGAAAAGTAACGCGTTACATTACTTGTGCGTTACATTTTCTCACCAGGGCTGGACTTGCTTGTTTGTTTTTTAATAACAACAAAAAAAGCTAAATTTTTGGCAAAATGTTAAAGGTGCTCTAAGCGATGTTGGGTGACGTCACTTCTTGTTGACGTTCGAAGTATTGTCAAATAAAATGGAGGCTACCTAGACCCTCCCTCCTCCTCATCCGCGCACTAACCCCCCAAACCCCAGCCCCAAATCCTTCTTGTCGGTTATTGGCTGGAACACTGTTTGTTATGTTTCGTGGTGCGGGTTGGCCCAGTTTGTTTTCGTTGACGTTTGTGGAGCCTGGTGTGTCTACAGAGCACTAGCGGTGCCAGGAATTTGAATGTTGGTGGGCCTCCAGAAAACTGGATGGGCCAGTTAAAATAAGCAAAAAAAAAAAAAAAAAAACGGGTTCCCCTTCATCTCCGTTTCAGCGCTTTTCTGCGGCACTAAGGACAGCGACTCAGTAGCCTACCTGTGTGGCTCTTGTGTCGCTGTCCTTTAGCCTAACTGGGGGGGTCGCACACTGGACAAGAAGCGCAGCGCTGTGTCGCGTCTAGGACAACTCGAGTAGTGATCGCCTGGGTCAAAATGGGCGGGCCCGGCCAATGGTAGCGCCGCGGGTGCTACAGAGACCGCATTTTTTGCAGTGTGTTCAGGGGACAGACAGCTAGCGGATAGTGAGGAGATGTTTGCTGTATGTGCTGTATATTTTGAGACATGTATTTTTTTCCCCACAACAAACGCACATTTTAGCCTATAGGTAACTATAAAGTCTTCTGTTCACCAGCCACTCACTTTCATGTCTTTCGGGAGATTTACGTTTTGTAAATGACAGGCACGAAGCCCCAAAAAGTGTCACGTGACGCTTGATACGTCGCCATGGAAATAGGAATTACTGTCGCGTTAACAAAATAATTTAACCAGGGACTCTTATTTATAACTTAATGTTTAATATTTTAAACTTAATGTGTAGCAAATCACGATTAATTTTCCCAATGAACAATTCATTTCGCTCACATTGACTCTCTCTTAGTATTAAGTATGGTAGCACAGCATTTTTAAATGACTGTCTTCGTGAGTTTTTCTGCATCCATGTTGCGTGTTTCCACTCTCATTTGTAAAATTTGGTATAGTAGCAGTTATTTCTTATGCATCTGTGTTTCTCACAGATGTTTTTTCTTAGGTTTATTTTAGGTTCCAAATAATGGCTTAGAATACACTCATAGACACATTCTCTCCCACACACATACAAAATAGCAGTTATTTCTATTAAATGATTTTGCCTTTGTTACTTTATTACCAATACAATTTTTTTTTCACTGCCTTTTCTTTATTTTTTCACACGTAAGAACAATCCCTAAATTGATCTGAGATAAATTTCTTTCAGTCAATAAACGTGAAAAGGTAACTAGCGTTACTTATTTGAAAAAGTGACTTAGATACTTTGTTGTAAATTGAAAAAGTAATGCGTTACTTTACTAGTTACTTGAAAAAGTAATCTGATTACGTAACTCAAGTTACTTGTAATGAGTTACACCCAACAGCCAACACTGAAAATAGCTGCTGAAAATGTAGCCTAGCTTTGCTATCACAGGAAGTTATATTTTAAAATACATTCAATAGAAAACAGTTATTTTAAATTGTAAAAATATTTTACAGCATTACTGCATTTTTGATCAAATAAATGCAGCCTTGGTGAGCATTTTTTTGTAAAAACTCTTACCGCCCCCAAAATTTTGCACAGTAGCGCATACTTAAACCAATACGATGTATATACTAGAAAAAACATGCTCACTTGTTTTGATCATTAAAGCAGGATATTGACTGAGGGCCTCCAAAGTAATGAACAGCTAATATATTATGCGCCGTAATGATTTATATTTTTCCCCAAATGTTCCTACTTCTCTAACACTTATTCAAAGGATTGCACTATAATTCTTGCTCAGATAAGCATGAACTTGCTCAGGAGAGGAATCATAAACTTGTAGATTATCATAAGGAAGCATGGTGTTGCATTTGATTAGCTCTGTTGGGTTCCAAACTGGATAATTAGTTGTCATATTGGTGTCCTTCACACCCAGTGGCCAGCAGAGCCAGAGAGAGAGAACAATGGTGAAAGGGAGAGAAAGAGAAATGCTGTCGGCCATCCTCTCTCACAGGCTCAATCAATTGGTCCCCATTTGTACTCAACCCACTTACAGAACTGGCCCAGTATCCTCTCTCTCTCTTCCTGCATGTGTCGCTCTAATTTCTTTTTGCTAACCTCCCTATTCTCTTTCACTTTGGGCACTTTCCCTCAGTCTATGCAGAACAACATTCACAAATTAATTGGTAATTTCCCTTCACACTGTTTCACTTGCTCATTAGTTTATGAGCAACACTCAGAATTTTTAGTATTGACAGCCTTAATTCACCATAAACATTTTACTTTTCATTGCCAGCATGAGATGAAGCTATTCAAATACTTATCTGAATCTTACAGCCCAGGTGAAAAAAAAGTGTCAATCAGTGATTAAAATGCATGAAATAGGTCTTGTTCACAGGACCCCTTAAAAGGGATGAACAGTGACAGCCATTGACAAGAAACATGAATATATTAATCAAGTTAAATGAAATCTGATTCAGTAATAATAAGTTATTTATTTATCAATTCTGCTGATTATCTCATTCATTAAATGAAATGTCGTTGTTAATCACAGCATGAGCTTTTTAATTACTTTTGAACTAGCATTCAAAAGTTTGGAGTCAGTAAGATTTAAAAAAAAAAAATTAAAAAGTCTATTTTGCTCACTAAGGCTGAATTGAATTGATCAAAAACTTTTATATTTGAATATATATATATATATATATATATATATATATATATTCAAATAGAAAACAGTTGGTGATTTGGTGCTCAATTAACATTTCTTATTATCAGTGCTGGTAACAATTGTGTTGCTTACAGTTTTTCTCAATCGCTTTGGCTCAATTCTCAAATGAGTTTTTATAATCAAAACAATAAATTCATATCTCTGAACAATTAGTTTCTTGTTTACATCACATTTCTTATTGATTTAAGCAAATTGCATGTGTTTTGGCACATGAAATTGTCAAACTCTTCACGACTTCTAAACATTCTTTCATCATGTGAGCCATCACTTTCAAAATTATGCATTTAGCTATCAAAATCTTCTAAACATGCATGTATATTCCATAAATATCTGACATGGAATGTTTGTAATGTCTGTTGGCAAATATCCTGACATTGTATTGAAATAGTAAATCACAATCTCACTAATCAACCAATAAAATTTGGAAGCATACATGGAGTTCTCCCAGCACAATCACTACTATTTTTTAACATGGATGAACATCACAACCCTATACAACAGCAGCTACAGCAGTACATTTATTTTTGTAGAAATGTGTTACACATAAACTGAAAATTGGTGTTAGGGTAAGACATGATGGAGTATGTAAAAATGTGTAAAAATGTTCATTTTCTTTTTGTGTACTACAGTATTGACTTTTCCCAGTAAATGTTTACTTTCTATTGAAATCGGAATCTAAAAATCTCAGTGTGATACACCAGAGCATTCAGCTAGACAAAACTGACATTTTTGTATAGTATGGAAAATCAACGAATTATCAACACATTGTCAACAAAAAAAGAAACATTTTGACCAGTATGGCTCAAACGATGAAAAAAAACACTTTATTTTTTGGTGGCATAGGCCAATTTACAGACACAATAACTAGGTCTTGAAGCATGAATTTAATATTTTGGGTGAGTTACTACATTTTGCAAACATGCAATAGATTTCTGATGTTCCAGCAAACAGTTGTGACTTGAACTTAGAGTTTAGATAATTTAGACTGTTTCGAAGAAAAAAATACCAAAGCGATTAAGAAAAACTGTAATATTTTTGTGAAATCTGTGATATATTTTTTTCAAGATTCTTTGATAAATAGAAAGTTTAAAAGTACATTTTGTAACATAGTAAATGTCTACTGTCACAGTTGATCAATTTAATACATTGTTGCTGAATAAAAATATTAATGATAGATAGATAGATAGATAGATAGATAGATAGATAGATAGATAGATAGATAGATAGATAGATAGATAGATAGATAGATAGATAGATAGATAGATAGATAGATAGATAGTCTGTCTTACCTCACAAACACACACTTCTAAAGATTAAAAGTGCACACAATGATTTACACTGGCAACGGAGACACCCAAACAACCAAAATGCACATAAAAAGCATATGTAGCTATGTCACAGAACCCTAACACCATATTTCATGTTGCTCAATAGATTACCAAAATTTCCTTCAGATAGAGCTACATGTAGTAACTTTTAATGAGATATGAATTTTTGTTTTTATAATTAAATTCTTACCTGATCTCAGTAGCAGTGCACAGATGGAGAGGTAAAAAGCGAATAAAAAGGACTAATCAATACAGGAAATCACTGAGGACCACAGCTCTATGGGACACGGGACAAAACCTGAACATGTTACAGAACTAATCTGCAACCCTCTTTCAGTTAATCACTCCTCACATACACACAGAGACACACCCACTCATGCTAACACATCCACAAAGTGTGAGTCAATGGTATGGACTGGTGACAAGGTCGAAAAGTAGATAACTGGGACTCAGGCAAATGGACCATTGAGAGCTGTGTTAAGGGACATTACTGACTCACTGTGCACTCTCATGTTCACATCTGTTCATTTACTGAGACTATACACTCTGTAAGGGAGAGTTTCTCTTCACCAAATCCTGTGCAAAACATTTTGAACTGGTCGCAATTCTGAAGAAATACAAGTCTTACAATGACTTTCATGACATGTTATTTGCATAACCAGCTATTTATTTTGAGGAAACATTTAAAACATGGATATTTTAAGAATATATTTAGCATCACATCCTTAGTCAAATGAAGTTGGCTGCCAATATCTCAGAACTAGCCATACTTACCAAAATGTTTTTCTTTTCCTCTCTGTGCCCTCTGTCCTACAGCTGGTATACTCGATTTTGTGGCCTCAGGCTTTTTTTTTTTTTTTACAAACACAAATGACAGGATAATGTCAGGATATGTGCTTAGACATTTATTGACTACTCAGAAAAATCCAATTCATAGCAGATGCTGAACTGAGTGCACAAACTCAACGCTCTGTGACCATCAAAGCACACACACACACACACACACACAAAATCAATAACAAATAGAGACTCAAGATGACCTGTGTCCAGCAGCTCGTTGGTTGATGACCTCATCCTTCAGAATACTTCATCCTTTGCGATTCTTGTTGACCCGGACTGATCCTGGTAATAAAGTCTTTGAGACCTTTTCCAGTCATTTCAGTCTTTGGGCTGTAAAAAAAAAAAAAGAAGCTATTTGGAACCTTTGACACAATAAATCAAGCATAATTTGTAAAACATAAATCCATTTAGTAGAATGATCGATAACACTTTACAATAAGATTCCATTTGTTAACATTAATTAACACTCTCACTGAAAAATACTTCTAAAGCAGGGGTGCTCTATCCTGTTCCTGGAGATCTATCTATCTGCAGAGTTCAGATCCAACACGCCTGCCTGTAAATATCAAGTGCTCCTGAAGATCTAATTTATCTGCTTCAGTTTTGTTTGATCAGGGTTGGAGCTGAACAGGAAGTTAGATCTCCAGGAACAGGATTGTGCACCCCGGTTCCAAAAGCATTTATTAATCCCAGTTAATGTTCATTTTACCATTTACTAATACATTATTAAAATCAAAAGTTGTATCTGTATATTATTTAATGGACCTGAGCTAATATTCACAAGGTATCCAAGGTAAGTCATCAACACTATCATCCGTTTTATTGAACTAAATACATCGTCATCGGCTAAAAAGTGCTTACCCGAGTCCGTGTTGCTTTCGCATTCACATGAATCGTGCCACAGTTCGACTGCAAACAAACTCAGACCACCTCCTCTAGGTAGTGTCCAACCAAGTTCCCAACTAGAACCATACATGCTAAGTGTGAAACTGTAAGTTTATCTACTTCAAGAACAGCGCTGTTACCTTGCTAATGTGAAATGTAATTTAGCTTTTAAGTTGCTAAACTATTCAAATCTGATCAAATCATTAGAACAGCACTGACAACACGTTTCTGTACAAGTGTGTGTCTGTACTCTGTGTGTGCGTTTGAGTGGGAGATAGAGAGCGGAGAAATTCATGAATAGTTTCCCTGAAAATAATTGCACACCTTAGAACGGTCATCAACCAATCAGATTTAAGCATTCAACAGCCCCCGTAGTATAAAAGCAATTAATGTTTTGTACAACAGCACTCTTGATATATCGCTCATATAGAAAAGTGTGTTAGACATTGCATAATTAAATATAATTCAAAATTCATACCTTTTTCAATGTAGATTATGTATACAAATAATTTTGGAGACCACAATTAAACATCAGGCATGACACTGTCACTCTTTCTTTCATCATCCACACAAGGTCCTTATTGACAGTCCATCAGGGATACATCCCATTACTGCCAGCAGAAACTCACTCATCATTCAATGGACAGCTCTCAATCAAGAATATTTCCAGCAGAAATGGCTTGTTGATGAATATGAAAAGCTATTTTCTTTGTGTGGCATACTGGAACCTCATGACAGAATCTTACATTGCATTTTTGTGAGTAATCAGGGACACTCAATGATATATTCATTGCCGAGATTGGATTCATTCTGCTGTCCGGAGCATGGCAGTCCCAGTCTGATTCGTTCTATGATAACACCATATGGGGTTTTTAGTCAGGAGCTGATGAGAGGCATATTACCTTAGGGACAATGGCAAGGCAGGCACAGTGAATAGCTATTACACTTCTAGTAAACGTCAGAAGAACGAATGCCAGCGAACCTAAATATGAAATGCAAAAATGAAACTTTTGTTCTTGCACTTTTGCACTAATTTAGGATAAAATCTGTATCGATTGATTCAAATATTTTGACCTTAAAGATGCAGGTTTTCTATAAAACCTTGCAGTTGCACAGGTGATGCAAAGTTGAGAAGGGAAGAAAATCGGCTAGTCTAACTGAGAAATGGAAGCACCATTTTCTGTCATTTACAGTTCAGATTGTACCCTCATTATCTTCTTAGGTTCATTTAAAAGGGGTGGTTGATTACGATTTCACTTTTCTAAATTTAGTTATTGTGTAATGCTGTTTGAGCATTTAAAAAATCTGCAAAGTTACAACGCTCAAATTTCAAAGCAAAGGGAGATATTTTCTTTTACAGAAATCACTTTTTAAGGACTACAACAAATGATTAATAGGGACTACACAAGCTTCCTCCCGGGTTAGTGACATCACGAACCCTGAAATGTACATAAACCCTCCCCCTGGAAACACGCAACGAAGGGGGTGAGTCCATGAGAAGATAAAGAGTTGTTATAGTAGAGCACATTTGGGAGTCTGCTCAAGCTGTCGCATTTGTTTTTTCTCATTTATTGCAATACAGTACGTAACACAAATGCAATAGCATGTCACTCTGTAGGCATCTTACAACAGTTTCCAATTATCATGACAGAATATGCTAATCAATGACTTGAAGATAGTTAAAGGTGCCATAGGTAATTCTCTGTGGAAGGCGTAGGACCATAAAATGTTCGTTCAATCGTTGCGTTCGGTCCTAACGGTCCTATAGCATATGTGTTCCCTGTCAGCCAATGTGTGTTTGCATACGTGAAGCCTGTTTTGCTAGTTAAAAAAACTGAAAACTTGCTGCATCTTGAATTTGTTTAAGTTTGTAGTGTTACTAATAGCCTCCTATAAAGTTTTCTCACTGGTGAATGACACATGATATTGCAGTAACGTTATCTCCGGTCTTCTTGGCTGTGCGCGTTCATGCTTTCAGGAGGCGTGGCTTTGGACGGCGATTTGCAGGGAGGGTTGGGGGGGGGGGGGGGTTGTGGGCACTGGGCTTTTACCAAGCGGCAACCTCCCCATCTCTCACTCTTGAAACCAACACGGAAGTGAATTACTAACGCAAGTGAAGTTCTGCTACAAGATGGCGGCACCCGGCCGGTGTGGTGAATAATCCGGTCACTCGGTGTGAATAGTCCGGGCGTAGGACCCAAGCAATCCGATTGGTTCAAAGCACGTTTTATAGGTAATCGCTTTGGTGCCTGGTTACAAATCATACAAAATCACTTTATTATAGAAGACGTTTGTACTACGGTATAACGAGTCATTAATGTATTTAATGTATTTTAAATTATACGTTTCATATACTAGTATTTAACCGAAGCTATAGATTGTGAAATTAAACATTTCTCGTTGTTAGTGTGTTTTTTAGTTAGCTTAGATAGTAGCATAGCATACAGCTAACGTTATCCGATGATCGTGCTATGAGCTTTACCTGAGCTTATACCACTGCACTGATACTGCCTTACCGTATTCACAGCAGTTAGTAGTGCAATTATAATTATGTCATTATTTTTTATCGCAATAATCGGCACAATATGTTACACAATATGTTTATTTTTTAAAAGAGCCATAACATAATATTTATTTGTGTGTATTACTATTTTCTTATTAACAGTTTAGACATTTAAAATAATTACAGAATGTTAGCTATGTTTTGTGGGTATAAATATTTAATTGGTTGTCAAGCCTTGACTAAAGACAGTATAATAACATTATGGAATCACAAATCTTAATGTAATCAAACCCCTTAATTTATATAATAATCTTTTATTTTAAAGAAATACCATTTTTAAGTGTGTTTTGTGACAAAGTTATTTGTTATTAAGCAATAGGGTATAATATGTTTTTTTTATTACAAGCATGTCATTTGTGTACTAATGCATTATGATGTATGGCATAATTTAATCTTAATACAGAACATCATACAATACAATAACATTTAATGTAATAAAATTAGTGAACCAAAACTTGTATAAAAATTTAATTAAATTTCACAATACATAATGAATTCAACTGAATTATGAGATGTAATATATTACATTTTTATTAACACAAAACTACAAGCAAAATGCACATCGTTTTAGGACATTTATAGAGCTTTTAAAAATACACAACAATACAAAGCAGCTTTAAACAGAAATACTTTTGTATGTCTTTACTTTCCTAAATACTTTTGTGATAGTTCTCTGGCTATACATTGTGAAGATTTAAAAACAATTAATGTCGAGTTAGCTGTGTTTAAATATTTAATGAACTGTAAGGTTAAAGTTTGAGAACTAATGAGACACAAATAGATGCAGTGTCTTTTGCTGTATGAAAAGTCAAATCTTTAGTTTGAAGTATATTCATGTTGTATATGCAGTCAATTCTTTGTGGAACCATCCTAAGGCCTACATGATGCAGTCCATCAATTTAGTGGTGGGGTCGTGACCTGGTAGGCGAGGAGGTGTCATGGACTGGCTTGAGGGAACTCTGCAAAAACACACACACATGCTGCAACACGTCATGTGCAACTGTACATTTGCACAGTCTTTAGTGCTATGGAACATCACTCACTGTTTTTACTTAGATGGGCACACTGGAAGGCACAACGCAGCAGGCGTAGTGAGCTCGCTGAACCTTGTCGTCATTTCCCCTTGGCATGATTGGGTCGTGACCTGCAAAACACACACACATGCTGCAACACGTCATGTGCAACTGTACATATGCACAGTCTGTTGTGCTATGGAACATCACTCACTGTTTTTACTTGGCTATGCAAGCCCAAAGGTGCAACGCAGCAGAATGTAGTTGGCTCGTTGAACCTGGGTGTCATGGATGGACTGGCTTGAGG